GGAATGTTATACCTCGACTCTGCGATGAAGACGTCAGAAATCGTTGCCATAGCCATGTCTTCGTCGTCATCTATCGAGTATCCCTCCCCAAGAACTCGGACTTGCGAGCCAGGATGAGCAGTGCCACTTAGCACGCGACCAAACGAGTAAAAGCTCTTGGCGTCTGCGGTGCTGAAAAGTTTTGTTACGTGAATTACCAGCGGACCGTCTTGGTTGCAAGCCTTCATGGACTGAGCCAACTTCGTATCCAGAGGGCCAGTGTAGTACTTTTCCAAGTACTTCTCCGCAGACTGGTCAGGTGAGGGGATGTGGCCTACGATCATGTCGACGAATCCTGTTGAGGGACCGAAGAACTGCTCGCAGACCAGTTTTAACAGCACCTTAGCGTCAGCCTTGTACTGAGAAGGCTTCAAGGTGATGCCGAGGCTGCCCAAGACAACCTTCAATTCCTCTGGGCTGTCGCTGATCGTGTGCGTAAAGATCTTGTAGATAGGCTCCAGAACGAAGTTGACAAAGGATCGGCTCGATCGTGGCTCTAGCGGCTTGCGGGTGAAGTTTCGTTTCTCGGGGTTGAAGTAGATATCGCCCCATAATCTCTTCGCGAAATCCTCGGTGTTGATGCCGCCGTACGTGTCTGCGTACATCTTCGCGAATGACTGCAGAGTGAAGCACCACCCCATGTCCGTGCAAGCAAAAAGAACATTGCCCTTCTCGGGGCTTATCCGTCTTTCCTCGCCCTTGCCCGGGATAGTGTTTTCGATTACCGTGTTGACCTCCTCGATGACGTGCTTAAGCTTGAAGTAGGCATCCTTGGGCGGCAGCTTCAGCTCCAAGATGAGGCGGTCCATCTTGTTGACAATGAGCGTCAGCGGGATATCCTCCAGAACAGCATGCTTGATGATTTGCTCCGTGTTGACCTGAACGCCCTCCACAACGTCGACAACTAGACAGACTCCGTCGGCTAATCTCAGACTGGCTGCGACCTCATCAACAAAGTTGACGTGGCCGGGGGTATCCAGAATGTTAATCAGATGGGATTTTCCTTTGGAACTCGGAAGAACCAAGCTCATGGGCGAAGCCTTGATCGATACGCCTCTTTCCCGTTCCACAACGTGGACGTCGGTGTATCTCAGCTGCTCGTCTCTCTTCTTGCCGACCCGGCGCTCGAGCCTGTCTGTGATATCATGGGTTTCCAACACCAGCATATCCATAAATGCTGTCTTTCCGTGATGGAGGTGTCCTGCCAACGCAATATTCCGTATTTGATCGGGGAAGTTCATGAGGTCTGTCATGAAGCTGCGCTCAAAGAATACGGGTGGTAGGTCGGCCTCTTCGATGTTGAACTTCTTCTGCTCGACGGGCGCTATGATCGGCTGCGAGAGCAACTGCTCATCTTCCTCTCGTACAAGAACTTCGACTTCATCTCCGTATACTTGCTGTGCCGTCGGGTAGTATTGTTTGTCCTCGTGCAGGATGATCGCATTTGATGGGCCGTCATCTGTTCCCCCAGGTTAGTTGACTTCCATCGGCGCAAAAGCAAGATATACATGCCGTCAATTTCCATCAATTCTTGACCAGTGGGTGCGGGCGCCTCGCTAGCATCATCGCCGTAGACGTAATCGCCCTCCGCCCCTCGTTCAGACGCCTCTTCAGAGCCGACATCCTCGCCGATGAAGTTACCGAACCTATGATAACAATTGTCAGTCGAACTATATTCTCGGCCAAAATAATGATATGTTTACTTACTCGTCGTATAAATCATCCATCTTGGCGTCTAGGGGTGCAGGAGATGAACTTTTTGTCGTGGGTTGCTAGAAGCCTGCTGAAATTCTAGTCCACGCGCAGTCGCGTTCCCAGCATGACGGCGGCGCAAAGTTTCTGGCAAGGCTACATTGTGGCTAATTTAGAAGTGTGGCTGCAAGGCTGAGTGGCTGAAGCTATGTCAATTGGTCGCACGGCCAACGCTAGTCAAGCAGGTACAGTGGAGCTTGGGACAGGGGACCTCCGACAGAGAGCTACCTTACCTACTGCGCCACAAGGTCCCAGCTGTGGACAAAGCCACCGCAGCGGTGCAGGGTCGGAGCAACCCCACCAAACATCCAAAAAGGCGGCGAGGGGTGATTGGAAGCAGCTCTTTCTGATTAGTGACACTTGCCCAACAAAAAACTGTTTACTTCCTTCTCTCTTCACAGTTAAGTAGGAACGGTTCCCGGCTCATCCTTGAAGAAACTCTCCTTCTTTCATCCAAACCCAAACATCCAACCTATCCACCTTCAAAATGGCCAACCTTCCCCCCGTCTACATCGTCTCTGCTGCCAGAACCCCCGTTGGTTCTTTCTTGGGGTACGAATAAGCTCACTCGACAATATTATCTTGACCGCTTGACCGAGAAGCTAACGTACTATCTTCTCTCAGTTCTTTGTCTAGCCTGAGCGCCACGCAGCTGGGTGCTCACGCCATCAAGGGTATGTAAATGTCTTATCAACGGTCCGAGACGCGGGGCAAGCTAACATTCACCCCTCCACAGCTGCTGTCGAGCGAGTCCCCCAGATCAAGCCCGAGGATGTCGAGGAAGTCTACTACGGCAACGTCCTGTCCGCCAAGTACGTCTCACGCACATATGAAGGGTTATAATTACCCATACGATGTTTACGTATTCTGACCGAAAACCAGCCTCGGCCAGGCCCCCGCCCGCCAATGCGCTCTCGGAGCTGGCCTCTCGCAGGGCGTCGCCGCCACGACCGTCAACAAGGTGTGCGCCTCGGGAATGAAGGCCATCATCCTCGGTGCCCAGACTATCCTCACTGGCAGCGCCGACATCGTTGTCGCCGGTGGCACCGAGTCCATGTCCAACACTCCTCACTACCTCCCCGTCCTCCGCAACGGCGCCAAGTATGGCGACCAGACCCTCGTTGACGGTGTCCTCAAGGACGGTCTTACCGACGCCTACGGCAAGAAGGAGCACATGGGCATGTCCGCCGAGCTCTGCGCCAAGGAGCACGAGTTCACCCGTGAGCAGCAAGACGAGTACGCCATCAAGACCTACCAGAAGGCTCAGGCTGCCACCGAGGCCGGTGTCTTCTCCAAGGAGATTGCCCCTGTCGAGGTCTCCGGCGGCCGTGGCAAGCCCGCTATCAAGGTTGACCGCGACGACGAGGTCAAGAACCTCAACATTGACAAGCTCAAGGCCATGCGCCCGGCTTTCATTCCCAACGGCGGCACTGTCACCGCCCCCAACGCCGCTCCCCTCAATGACGGCGCTGCTGCTGTTGTCCTCATGTCCGAGGCCAAGGTGAAGGAGCTCGGCGTCACCCCTATCGCAAAGATCCGCGGCTGGGCCGATGCCGCCCGCGAGCCCGAGCGCTTCACCATTGCCCCCGCGCTGGCCATCCCCAAGGCCATCAAGCACGCCGGCCTTACTGAGAAGGACGTCGACTTCTACGAGATCAACGAGGCGTTCTCCGTCGTTGCCCTCGCCAACATTAAGCTCCTGAACCTCGACCCCGAGACCGTCAACGTCTTTGGTGGCTCCGTCGCCATCGGACACCCCCTCGGCTGCTCCGGCGCTCGCATCGTCACCACCCTTTCGACCGTCCTTCGCGAGAAGAAGGCCAAGATTGGTGTTGCCGGTATCTGCAACGGTGGCGGTGGTGCCTCCGCCATTGTCATTGAGAGCCTACAATAGACGGACACTCAATTACAGCAGAATTTCAAGATTCCCCCTCTCCCAAAAGTAGAAGTCTCGGAGCTCCGAGTTCGTACGGTCCAAATCAAGTAATTGGCAGGAACGTGGGGCCGTGACCCCGTCGAGCACCCACGTACACAGGCGCAGAGTCAGCGGCTTTGCCGCATGTGACGCTGGTGGTTGTGCAGACTGCAGAAGACTTGACGCACACCACTTTTTGTTTTTTGGTCTCGCGTCATGGTACATGAGCCGATGGGCGGGCTCCAAGACTACCGAAGGAAAATTTAAAAACCTCAAAAGGACAAAAAAAGACAAAAGTATACCAAGTTTTAGATATAGCGCAATGGGCGGCCATTGCAGATCTTTTTACCTAATATCACGAATCCGACGACCGCAAAAACTTCTTCCTTACCACACCTTACCTAGAGACTAAGACCACAAGTGCCCACTTGGCTGCCGTGATTTGCGTCTTTTTCTTGCGTTTTTCTGCGCTTCCTCATGCACCGTTCTCGGATAGATCCTGGGAGATTTGACTGATTAGATGATCTGATAAGATCCACCCGTGTTACATCTTCGGCCCCTCCTAAAGAAGAATTTACAAGCAGACAACTGGAACTGTGGCTGTGTCAATTCCCCATTTCCTGCAATACCTACTTATTGCGTTGTGAAGAAGAGACTTTTGCGGCTTCGTGCATAATTGACGCGGTGGCCGAAGCGTCGACGCCGCGACATCGGCCCCGAAGGTGTGGGACTTACTTCGCTACTACCCGATGCCATGTAAGGTACCTGGGACTTTTGAAGTGACGAACAGGTACAAAGTTTGAATCGAGATTTAATGCTTGCAAGACCTTTTTTATTTTGCGCAACTACAATTATTGTACATTTGCAGGAAGGAGAAGACTGAAAAGGAATGAGTCGCAAAAGGAGGCGCATCTCGCTCTCTCTCATGATGAATGTCCGTGAAAAAAGAGAGAATCATCTGCCAAAGCCTCCCCACTCTACTCTTCTTTCTGCAATCAGGTCGAAAAATTAGGAAAAAAAAAGGAGTCATGTAACGCCGAACCTTTCCCACGCCATTCCCATGCCAACCCGTTCCACGGATTCAACGATCGTGGTCAGGGCATCAAGAGAAGACCAAATCCATGTAAAGTTGGGGTAACATGGCAGCCATGCCGCTCTGCACCGCTATGCCGCCTGGTATCTTCGTAATTGTGAACTTTCAGCCTTCGCCCATCTTGTCTCCGATCTCACACATGTTGCCAACTTCTTTGCCCGCGCCACCTAAAAACGCCGGTTCCGCTGGATCACCACTTCACTACTCTGCGGTGTCCATTGCGTCCCCTGCGTCCGAGGCGGGTGCGATGCCATCCTTGAGCCACTTTGACCATCCCTCGTTGGACTTTTGTACGTCGGACTGGCTCATGCCCTTCATCCAGGGGCTGTTGAAGACAAACTTCTCGCGAAGCTTCGTGTCGCGCTTGTTACTCGCATTCTTGAGCCTCTCGAGGTGTCGCTCCTGGCCCTCCTTGTCCTTGGGAACGTTGTCGTAGACAAAGTACTCAGATGTACCAGCCTTCCACACCATCTTGCTCGAGTTCAGACAGATACTGATGGAAAGGTCTTCATCGAACGAGATGGGCTTGGGAATGTGGCTGTCCTCAAACTTCTCGTCGCTAGAAGGAAGATTCCGGGCCAACACTGTCTTTTGGAGCTTGTGCCGTGGTACACCTTCTGTCGGCTCGACTTGGATGAAGGACGAGATGTAGTATTGCCAGCGATCCTTGGCCTTCATCTCATCCATGTAGAAGGTGGTGTCTTCACGCTGCAGCCAACGGACAGAGGCTTCCGATTTGAGCGGGAACTGTGAAATGTGTTAGAAACAAGATAGAGAAAGTGGTGTTCAAGTGGACTTACCCAACAGATGACAAACATCTCGCCGTCCTTGACGCACTTCTCTGCGTACTTGCGGGCAGCGATCTCTGACTGGTAGTTTGTCTCTTCCTTCTCTCGGCTGTGGAGGTACTGCTGAATGAGGTCCGGAGTCTTCTCCTTCGCATCAGTGCTGCTGCAGGTGAGAGCGAGACGGCACAGAGTCTTGAGGAGGTCCTGAATGGTGTACAGCTTCCAACCGCTCTTAAGGTAGTAGTGGCGTAAAACATCCTGGTAACGGACCTCGTCGATATCGCCGGTGATGTATTCCTCAACAAGCTCAAGGGTCTTCGGCCAGAAGCTCTCAGGGTCGTCATGAGGGCCGAAGTAGTTGAGGGTGTTGTCGGCCAAGCCAATATCCTTGGCGGGACGAGGTCGATTGACGCGGTTGACCTCCTCGACGACGCTCTCCTTGCTCTCCTTAACATCTCTGAGACGGGTATAAATCGTCTGGAACACGTTGAAGAAGACGAATATGGTTTGGTTGCAGAAGAAGTTGTGCCAAGGCCGCGAGAAGAAGCCATCAGCCTTCAGTTCACCATCAGCGGTGAGGAGAGCATCGTCCCCAGTCGTGACTATAGGCTGCGGAACAATCGGCATCCAGCGGTCGTTAGACACGTCGGGGCCAGTACCATCCTCGGGAGCATCGGGCATTTCTTCCTCGTTCGCTGACCCAACTTCGGGTGTCGTCTCTTTGCTGCCAGACGCCGCGCTTCCCTCCTTTTGCGCACGCGGCTTAGAGCCGTTGCGGCCAGGATCGAGCACGCCACGGAGTAAATCACCCCTTCTACCGGCACGGCGGCTGCGGCCGTTAGTCAATTCGGTAGGGACGGCCTCTTCAGTCTCATCCTCTTCCGATACATCTTGCAGCCTCGGTAGACGACCCTCCAATTCTTCCTCGGGAATATCGAAGAATGCAGGGATGAATGTCTCGAAGAAGTCGGCAATGCGCTCCTTCTCTGGCACGCTATGCTGACCACTGCTGACAGTGTAGAGCATCATCAGACGAAGCAGCTCAACGACAACCTTCTTGTCGTTGAAGTCCCAAACCAACTGATGACGCGGGGCTTTGCCCTTCAAGCTGCGCTGGCGCCTCTGCTCCTCGGCCTTCGTCTTGATGACGTCGACAAGGTGTTTAGCTGAGAGGTTCCTTTTGTCGGTCTGCTTGACGAGGATGCCCATATGGTCGAGACTCTTGAGGTGCATGTGCTCAACTTGAGCATGCCACACCTTCTCCCATTCACGCTGTGAGAAGCGCCATTCCTCATCCTTTTGCTTCATTCTGGTCAACACAATCGGGACTACATTCAGCGGGTTGGTGAACAAGTCGTTGACGACTTCGGGACCTTTTTCACCATAAATCTTCTTGCAGACACGCTTGAAGACCGAGGTACTGTGTCCAGCCAAAGCCTGCGGCATCTGGAAGTGCTCTCTCTCCGCAGGCGACATGACGCTGATTTGCTGGGCGACAGGCTCCAAGAGTTGGATGCACTTGAGGTTTGCCTCGATATTGAAGTCGTAGTCGTGGCGTTCTTCCTCGATGCGATGCAAACCCTCTTCGAAGCCGTTCTTACGATGCGCGACAAATCCGGAATCTTCAGAGGCCCAGGTTGGGTGCGACGCCCAGTCGTCGTTCAACACGGAATTGCAGAGTTCATCGCGGCCGCTGCAAGGCTTGAGACGCTCCTGATTAATGGTTAGCGAGTGCAAATAAGACAACGAGTCTGGCTGACATACCCTTTTGGGAAGAAGACGATAACTAGGCCCATAGCCTCGGCAGTTGCTTAATGACACTTTGCCGCTCGGAGGCGCGGGTCTGTTATCGACGATTTCGTCATGCGGCTCGTACTTGAGGAACGCCTTCCAGAAACCTAACAGCTCGGGATTTGCGGCAAAGAAGACGCTGCCCTTGTGAAACACTGTGTTGCGGTCGATGATGGATTGACTGAACAAGTTGCAGACTTTGAGAAACTCGTTGAAAGACGTCTTGTTGCTGAGGTACTTCTTAACCTTCTCGAAGAAGGCGATCTCATCAGAGTTCGAGGTGGTCGACGCGGGAGGTCCCAAAGGCTCTGGCAATATCGGCGTCAGTGTCGGCTCAACCGCGGGGGCATCGGAAGCCAGCGCCTTGTTGTGAGACATCTTGGTTCGCTTGTTGTTGACGGCCGCAGGGGGAGGAGCGCCAGTAACAGCTCGGTTGGCTGAGACAGCAGCCTCCACGATGGGCGGCGCAGGAACGGGCGTCTGCTTGTCAGTTCTAGGTCGCTTCTTGTTGTTTTCCTTGGAGGCACTTGGGGGAGCAAAGCTTCCCAAGGGAGGCATCTTCTGGCCGCTCATAGTCGGCTGAGGTGTTTGGTTAGGGCCAGGGCCAGGCGGAAGCTCATCGCCAGGCCGTCCGGGTGTTCCCTTTCCTCCTTGTCCAGCAGATTCGGGCAAAAACTGCTTGAAATCTTCGAGTAGGTCAGGTGCAGTGTGGAACAAAGTCGTGACTTGGGCGTACACGTCCTGGATCGGCTTTTGTTCGCGCTGATAAGTCTGGAGAATTTCAAGGAATTGTTTGTAAATCTCAGGCTTATCCTGAAAGCGGTTCTGCGGCGTGGTTAGTGCGCGAGGCCTCAGACTGGAGCGGGATATGGATAGCAAGAAAAAAGTCCAGTTAGACTGACCTTGATTTTGTTCACGTAGCTGATGGCATGGTTGAACTCTACCGGCCCACGGCGCTCCAGGTTTGCCTGTTGTTGTTGCTGGTTGGTCGCGCCGTTCAGATTTGCGGGTCCCGTTACCGGAGTAGGGGTTTGCGCATTGCGAGGAGGCTGCTGCGCGTTGTTCGCGTGGGCAGCGCCTTGCGCCGGAGGACCACGCTGCTGACTTCCACCAGGACCCTCGAAAGGCGCGACGTGACCCTGGTTCATAAACGCAGGCGCACTAAAGTTCGCTTCAGGGCTCTCGATGCTGTGTTGCGGCTGCTGGGGCGGCGGTTGTTGTTGCTGTTGCTGCTGCTGAGGCTGTTGCTGCTGCTGTTGCCAATTGTTTCCACGCTGAGGAAAGAGCGGCTGAGAAGCACCGTTAGGGTGTGAATGACCTTCAACCTGCGTTCCTCGGCCAGCAATGGACTGAACAGTTGTGCCCATAGGGGTGGTGACCCTGATGGTGTTAGGGTCGTTGCCAGCGCCGCATTCAATCCGGTATCCTGGTGGCAGGAAGGTATTGAAGCCCTGGATCAGGTTCGGATGACCAGCGAATAGCTCCGAGACGCGATTGATGACCCCAGGAGTGTCAATGCTGCTTTGGTCAGTTGTGTCACCTGAACAACGGATTAATCACATACGCCTGGCTTTTGAAGTCTTTCATAATGTCGAGGAACCGATTGTACACGTCTGGCTGGTCGTGGAACTGTACCTTGACCTGGTCAAGATACGTCAAGGCATCCTACCATTCATAGTTAGCTCTGACCGATGACAAACAAAACATTTAACCCGAAACCAAGCTTTACTTTGACCATGATGGGCGTATCCATGACCGCGGTTGCATTGGGTTTGCAGGCTACAGAGAGGAGAATTTGATGCGCATGGTTCTTGGGGGGAACTGGGTAGATGGGAAGATGATGAAGACAAGGCGATGCGCAAATGGACCTAGCGAGATGGAAGGACGGAATATGCACGCGGGGCGGCACTGCATCCTGCCTGGGCAACATGCGCCGTATCGGCGCACCAGCCCACATCGGTTTCCACTTTGGATGCGTCCAGCCACAGGTAAGAGCATCGGCAAAGGGTTCGCGGCTGCCTCCTTCTTCATCTGGCAAGTTTACAAATGACTTATTTCAACTTACATTCAAGATGGGTTGTTGGCCTTGGGCAATGCCGCCTTGGCCTTGCTGACCTGGCGGCCCTTGACTTTGACCGCCAGCAGCACCGGGGACAGCGCCTCCAGTATTTCCACCACTGCCACCGAAAGGAGGTCCTTGTTGCATCGGAGGTTGGCCCTCGCGCTGCTGTAGCGGCCCCCCAAAAACAGGTGGACCACCGCTGGCAGTGCCTAGGGAGTTACTGGGGGGGACGGTCGTGTGCGGGATCGGCGCGAACATCTGGTGCTGGGTATTGGGGTTATTCGGACCCCCGTGCGGCGGAGGTCTACTGTTATCGGGTTGAAGGGGACCGCCGAAGTTCGCGCCAGGCCCCGAGGGGGCGCCGAGAGGCATGGGCGGTCCGGACGAGCCTGAGCCGTGGTTTGCGAGCAGGCCGCCGGGGCTGTGGATTGCGCCCATCGCGCGAGATGCGACGGGCTGGTGTATGGGGATAGAGCCAGCATTGCTGTGATGGGGAGGGCCGGGGGGGTAGCCGTCTCGGCGGCGTCTCTCGGCTTGTTCTTGTTCGCGTCGTTCCATTTCTTCGGCTTCTTGGAGGCGGCGACGATTTTCGGTCTCGCGCTCGTAGGCGTCCACCTCGTCAGCGGGTTTCCCGCTCATCATCCTGAGATCGATCGTCCTCTTCCACTCCGAACGTTAGCGACGCGTTGGCATAGAGTAGAGAGAAGGTAGGGTAGAGAGGGGTTGTCCTCAGTTGCGCCCGAAGAGTCTGAGGGGGGTGGCTGGATTCTGCAACCGCGCAAGCTTTGCTTCGCCCGCCAGTCCTCTGCGACCGAGGATCGTGTCGAGACTGAAGACACTTACAGACTGATGCTACCAATGGTATGATGTCTACATGGGGATCCAACGTCTGATCTCAGATTACAGTATCGTAGATCTACGAGGACGTCACGTAGGTAGGGAAAATTCGTAGTGGTCTCCAAGCTTGGAAGCTGCTGCTCAAACCCCTTCGCGGCTGATTGGAATGAAGCCCCCAGGTGCGGCTTCTTCCGCACATCACGTGCAGATAACGATCTTATCATGCTCGGTCCACTTTTATGTCCGAATGGCAGAAGTAGTCATTCTTCCTCTCAAATTGCGCCGACAGCTTATCATTGATGCTGCAAACTTGACAATATGAGGGGTTTCCTCGCGCCTCTGCTGTCACTTACAGTCCGATTTGGTCGTTTCTGTTTTGCAAGGTTGAATGTCTTCTTGGCAACGTTATTGTTCCATTTTCTCTGAATAAAACGAAACGATGCCCTCACCTGGATGGATTAACTAAAACCTTGAGCTTTACGATTTCGGGTCACTGTGTAGACAGGCAGAAGGGTGTTGAGTTTGGTTCGCACAATTACTGGTCTTTCAAAATAGCTCCCTTGTGAATTCTTGATGTATTTAAATCTTGAACTTTCTCTTCTGCGTAGCATGACTTCCAATCGATTCCGATTGTTTGCCTGAACTGTGTAGGTGGGTGCCTTGAAGAAGTGAGAAACATTATTATATGTCTTGTATTCTACCGTGTCGTTTGGGTATTCGTTTACTATTCTTCGCTGATCATTCATCTACCTATTCATCCGCGCTTTACTTGCCGATTCATCAAACAAAAGCAAAAGCTAACAACTCAGCAAAAGCTCAGCCCCCTATAGGGAGCCTACGAAAGATCCGAGGAGACTCTTACCAGCCTCAAGTGTAACGATGCAAGGATTTTTACAAGTAGAAACCGGGACTCGAACCCGTGACCCGTGGGAGCGAGGCAATTCAGAACGAGCTGACATTCCCCGCCACACCACGGGCCTTGGTGACGGTAATAAACAATTTTGTACCCTATAGAGGGTATTGGAGTGGCCGTTCCAGCGGACTCTCGCTCATGGCTCATAGCTCATAGGGAAGTTTGACTACGGTACCTTAGGCATAGTTCCGTACCTCCTTGATAATCCACTATGTGCGATGGTTACTCACAGCCCGACAAGGTAAACCGTACGGGATATTAAAGAAAGCATTGGGATCACATACCACTTCGCCATTGGCAACAGTACTCGCCACACTTACTACCTCAATATTACCAGGCTGGATCTAAACTATTCGTCAGTTTCCCAATATCGACATAATTGATAACAAAACAGAAAAGGAAAGAAAGGGACAGCATGGTATCGACTTACGAACTTAACACCGTCCTTGGTCTCCCACCACACATCCCTATCATCACCAATCGTCTTGGCCTTTGTATTCTCGGGCCACGGGCTCACGCCAACCATGTGCGCCTCAACAAACCGCTGAATGTTCCTCTGCGCCTTATCCCTGCCGTCGTCGCCCTCGTAGGCGTCGGCGCCGAGCTGCTGGTAGTCGCGGGGATCCTCCCACGGTTTCCGCGGCAGCTTCTCGACGGCCGAGTTGAGGGGCGCCAGCACGGTGGTGTTGCGCCCTTGGTCGTCGAGGCGGCGCGAGGCGGATTCGATATCGCGCGTGAAGCCGGCGAAGACGTTGATGCTCCGGTCACGGCCCATTACGTCGGAGAGCCTCACGCCTCCTCCTCCTCCGTCTTGGCCCGGGCCGGAAGAGGAGGGGGGGTCTGAGGGCGGCGGTGGTGGCATGGCTGGACCGGGGGCGGGGTCTACGGATTCTACGATGGGTTTCTGGCGGAAGAAGCGGGGTGCGTATCCGTTGAGGCCGGAGCGTTCGACGGGAAGGGATCTGAGCTGGGCCGTCACTACGGTGCAGGTCAAGAGAAGTATTATGGCGGTGGGCCGTCTCATTATGCTTCTTGTTATTTGGGAAAGGGGAATTTGTGTATCGAATTAAGATTCCCGTCGTCGCAGTTCAGGAATGCAGCAATGCAGTCGCACTTGCCTTGGAAACTACTACACTGATGGCGCGCGTCACTTTCACGTCGGATGCGGCTTCGCGGCCTTGGATTTTCTCCACGGGACCAGATTTTTGGAAATCTAAGGGCGACGATTGGCTGCATGATAGGATGACATCACCCATGCTCCGATGCTGCGCAGGGCGGTGCTCTCCGCCAGCAGGAACACCTGCGACTCGTTTGTGGTAAGGTACCTTGCTCGCTGTAAGGCACACCAAACCAGCAGCAAAAGCGCAACCGCCTCACACCACGTGATGCTCGATCAACGAGGCAAGTCGCAAAACGCTTACTTTCCGAAGATACCTTTACGATGCGGAAGCGAGTTCCATCTTTCGTTCCTGCGTTGCCGACGGATGAGCGCACTCGCCGAGATACACCGAAGACGGCAGCCCAATAACCCCAGGTATTCTCTACTATTTTGTCTCACAGAAGGGAGCGATTGCGGAGACGGGCAGCCGTTCCCCACACTTTTCTCAATCCGCGGGTTTCCTTCTGGCACAGGTGAGTTGAGGTGAGGATGCGCGAAACGGCAGTCGGGGCAGTCGGGAATTATTGCTGCATTTGAACGAGAAAGACTGGCTGGGAGAAGCCTATGCCTCAGCAATCAGCGACCAAAAACGATGCAAGGCCACCACCAGCAATTGTACCAATAGTTTAGTTTTTATTATCCTCAGGATTCAATAAAGCTTCTCATGAATCATGAGAGGCTGAATTGGAAACCAAGTCGATGGGATAGGTGGCAAGTTTCTGTATGGGGGGGTTTTTACGGTCAAAGAAGCTTGAGCACCTGACACATCTAGGCTTTTGCTCCGTCCTGCCGCTTTCCCCCAAGAATGCCCCCTTTCACATGCGAAAAAAAGATGTACGGCCTGGGTTCCCCAGACCAGCCCAGTCAGCCCAGTACCAGCCCCCAAGCACGACTCCAAAAAAGAAGTCCTTGGAGCCGGAAATGGCCCGTGAGAGGAAGGGGATTTGTACTGTACTACTGTGTATTCGACTATCTTCGTACGAGTGCGGAGGAACAAGCTGGACTGGAATGCAGGCCGAAAGTGGTCGCCCAGCAGCGGCAAGGGAAAAGAGGGGACGGCAATGCGAGTAGATCCTCGGTCAGGTGCTAAAAGTTCCGGACCGGTCAATCATCTGACCTGCACCTCTTGTGTGGGGGATTAGGTGGGAGGGGGCCTAGTGAGACTACGGTATCTACAGTCCTACACAGTACGTGGTGGCTATGCCTCTCTCGCACGTAGCTACACTCGTGAAGATTCGACGGCGTCTTGAGAATTGCGCTCGACCAGTCGCAGCCTCAATGCAGCCGCACAGTCTTGAGGGGCAGAAGGGGCTGGAGAAGGGTTTTGGAACGTGTCCCATGGCATGGGGCATCGCAGGCGGCGGGTTTATGCCCGTGAAAGATGTCGATTACCCGTTCACCTTGTTGACACGAGGCATGTGGTACGCACCCAAGGTTGTGGGGAGAGCGGGAAGGCGACGGGACGCCAAGTGCTGGTTAGAGATTCGACGTCAGACGTTTAGTTTTGGTAGCCTCTCAGATGGGAAGACAGGCGGTTCGAGGTTCAGTCAGCTGCATGAGCTCGAGCACGAGGGTAAGCCCGTGACCTTGGATGCACCTTGGGTGGAAATGGTAAAGTTGTGGTCTTCACATGTCAGAGGCAAACGATGGACAGCTCGAAAAGTCCTGAAACTGTCACAAAATTCTTCGTGGCCCTTTCTGCGGCAGCTTACTCCAACAATTTGACTCGTGAAAGTGTACTTACCTACACAGTTGGAGCCAAGGCTAGCGCAGGCGTGGCAGGTGAATCGGTCTGCCATCCCTTCTCGAGAGAGCCTCAAGTGCATCTTTTGAGGTTTTTGGGTCAAACGGCTTCAACATGTCTACTGTGTAATGCCCTCCCTTCCGTTGGTCAGCTCGGTAAACGGAGCGCAGAGGTACCTCAGTAATAGACGGGGAATTCGAGACTTTTAGAACATCCCCCACAGTTTCCCCCAGTTTTGCAGGTCGCGGTCCACCACCGAGGAAAGCGAACGCGGGCCCAGTCTCGGCCAGAATTACTGCGAGAAGCCAACGAGTGTCTAGGGTCTCTTCATGCTAGAGGAGCAGTTCAGTTGCAATGTCCTCCGCAGACCGGACGCAATTGCCTGTTCGTAGTTGATAGACACAACATGGAGGAAACTTTTCTCACGATGCGCAATTGGGGAAATAAACTGCACATGGAAGACAAGACTCAATTGAGATTCCATCTCTCTCGTCGCTCTCGGCTTCCCCACACCTGTACCTAAGAAAAAAAAGGTGTCCCATTGTTCCTCGGACCACTGCCACCGCTTGACCAAAAGGCTCATTCTTACTGGTACGTTCATCTGCCTTCCCCCGTTTAGTGACGCCAATTCTCCTCCCCCAGGCCCCAGACCGTCCCTTTCCCCGACCCCCAACTCTGAGTCTCTGACCCAAACTCGGCCCAAAACTCACTAGCACCGCGGGCAAGCCAAGTCGTGGACTCGTGTGCCATGGAAGTCCCCAGTGCGAAGTCCCCCCCCCTGGTTTCTGCTTTTCCCACCGGCGCTTCGACCTCGGCTCACGAATCGCCGTGTCAGCGGTCCTTCTGCCACTCCCTCCCATCTGCGCGCACCACCTCACGCAACCAGAACGTGTCGTCTCCGTAAGGTATGTACCACTGTCCCACTGCACCGTACCATACGGTACGAAGTATACCCCCCAGGTCCCTTGCGGAGCGGATACCACTACCACCTGCACCTGCCTTCGGCCCCAGACCCGCGTCGTCCTTATGCCTTTGTCCCCATCTTCCCTCGGCGTAGCAACAAGACGAAAGGCACCGCTCCTCTTCTCGTTTTCTTCTTAAACCTCTCCATCCAAACTCTCTTCCTCCCCCACCAACTTTCTCTTTCCCCATCTTCTTTGTTTGTTCTCCATCCTGTCCTTTGGAGCGCATCAATACCATCACATCAATCAAAATGGCACCCAGAGTTATCGTCGTTGGCGGTGGTCGTAAGTTACCTCAACCCCTTCCTGCTCCCACCTCCGCCTCTCAGTCTTACCACTCTCTCTGCCGCGGCCAATCTCGGCCTCGTCTTACCCGCTCACATGCTAATCCGTGCTGCCAGTGTCCGGCTTGAGTGCCGCGCATACCATCTACCTCGCAGGAGGCAACGTTGTCGTTCTCGACAAGCAGGGTAAGTCTAATAAACCTATGACTGCCATGCGGCTTGTGATTGTCGCAAAGCTCACGCTCCTACTCTATAGGCTTCTTCGGAGGCAACTCCACAAAGGCCACTTCTGGCATCAACGGTGCCTTGACGCGGACACAGGTCGACACCGGAATTGCCGACAGCGTCAAGCAATTCTATGATGATACCCTCAAGTCTGCTCGTGACAAGGCCCGCCCCGACCTCATCAAGGTCCTTACCTACAAGTCCGCTGCCGCCGTCGAATGGCTTCAGGATGTCTTCAACCTGGACCTTACTCTCGTTTCGCGGTTAGGGTAAGTCGATCGCAGAAGCCCAATGTACAAGGTTCTTCAGGTTCTAACCTATCCTACAGAGGTCACTCCCAGCCCCGTACCCACCGTGGTCACGATGCCAAGTTCCCTGGTATGGCCATCACATATGCGCTCATGCAGAGACTCGAGGAGCTCGCCGAGACCGAGCCCGAGCGTGTCGAGATCATCAAGAAGGCCCGCGTTACCGGCCTGAACAAGGACGGCAACACCATCACTGGTGTTTCATACGAGTTTAACGGCGAGGAGCAAAAGGTTGACGGACCCGTCATTCTTGCCACCGGTGGTTACGCTGCCGACTTTGGCGAGACCTCCCTACTCAAGAAGCACCGTCCCGATACCTTCGGCCTCGCCACCACCAACGGCACCCACGCCACTGGTGACGGTCAGAAGATGGTCATGGCCATCGGCGGTAACGGTATTGACATGGACAAGGTCCAGGTCCACCCTACTGGTCTGGTTGACCCTAAGGACCCCGGCTCCAAGTGGAAGTTCTTGGCTGCTGAGGCCCTTCGTGGTGAGGGCGGTCTTCTTCTCAACGCCGACGGTGACCGTTTCTGCGATGAGCTTGGCCACCGTGACTACGTCTCCGGCATGATGTGGAAGGAGAAGGACAAGAACAAGTTCCCTATCAGACTCATCCTCAACTCCAAGGCCTCCAAGGTCCTTGACTTCCACACTCGCCACTACTCTGGTCGTGGTCTGATGAAGAAGATGACCGGTGCCGAGCTGGCCAAGGAAATTGGCTGCTCCCCCGACCACCTCCAGAAGACCTTCACCACCTACAACGCCATTGCCGATGGCAAGCAGAAGGACCCTTGGGGCAAGAAGTTCTTCCACAACCTGCCCGTCGACATCAACGATGACTTCCACGTCGCGCTGATGGAGCCTGTTCTCCACTTCACCATGGGCGGTATCGAGATCAACGACAAGGCCCAGGTCTTGAACAGCGAGCAGAAGCCCTTTGACGGTCTGTTCGCCTGCGGTGAGCTTGCTGGTGGCGTTCACGGTGCCAACCGTCTTGGTGGTTCTTCCCTACTTGGCTGTGTCGTTTACGGCCGTGTTGCCGGTGACACCGCTAGCAACTACCTCTTCCAGCAGGCTCTTAACGGCGTAGGAGGTGCCACCTCCCGTCTCGGCCAGATCTCACTGCACCTGGACCCCGCCCAGCCTGGTCGCGTCACGATCGACTGGAATAACGGTGGTGGCTCCGGTGGCCAGGGTATCCCTGCCCAGCAGACCACATCGGCCGCCGGCCCCACGCCCGAGAAGGCGGACGGCCAGAAGGCTTCCAAGCCCAACAATCCCAAGGAGTTCTCCGTTCCCGAGAAGGAGTTCTCTATGGAGGAGGTTGCCAAGCACAACACCAAGGAGGACCTGTGGGTCGTCGTCAAGGGTGTTGTGATGGATCTCTCAAACTGGCTCGAGGAGCACCCCGGTGGACCCCAGGCCATCATGAACTTCATGGGCCGCGACGCCACCGAGGAGTTTGAGATGCTGCACGATGACGAGGTTATCCCCAAGTACGCACCACAGCAGGTGATTGGCCGCGTCAAGGGCCAGACGCCGAGTTTGGAGCTGTAAATTTTGAGACAATCATCTACGACGAGCGCACGACGGAATCTTGGCTTTGGGTAAAACAGTGATAACCGGAGTAACGGGTGCGCATTGGCGCGCTTTTTTGAATTTGGGCATTTTTCTCACATCTAGGGAATGTATTCATAGATACATGTTGTAGTCTCTTGGATTCAATGGAACTCCAAACTCTCTGTTCACTTGATCCTCCATCAAAATTACATGATGCAACTGACTCAGTGGGACGTGCTGCATGGGATTACATGTAAGCTAGGACAAATATTGAGCTACGACTTTAAGGTAGCTAAAAGGTACAGTAGCAAGCCACTGGCTGGCCCTTCATCCATGTACATGTTTAACCATCTGCGTCGAAATCTACAACAGCCTTAGAAATCACGAACCAAACATGTGCACACTGCCAGTGATGCTGTCTTCTTAGTCGTATCGCATGATCAACAGAGGCCCAGAACACACAAGATTAATTTTACCATTGGCTGCTGTTGGTGATGGCAATCTTGCCTGGTGCCATGATGGAATCAATGGAACCTTTGAGGAATAATCCACGAGAGGCTTACAATTTCAACACAAATCCCGGATGTTTCACAATCTCAAAGTGATTAAAACAAGTCCATTCAATCTCGATAAAAGGCGGTAGGTTGTAGAATTACCCGTGAGCTGATGAGCGTGCAAGTGGTTCGTATTCTCATTGCGGTGTCCAACCTGATTGTCGTCTAGCTAACTATATCCCCATGGGCAGCTCCCAAACTCCTTCGGAACTAGGTTTGCCTCGAATCTGTCAGGACGCCTCTTCATTCTCCTCGGCCTCCTTTAGCGGCTTTCTCGCATGGATCATGTACCTGCAAATCTGTCAGTGATTTCGAGATGGGATAGGTAGTGTGTTTCGGTGAAAGGCAAGGCGGAAAGCCACAAGGGGAGAAGGGGGTGAAAGACTTACACGGGGATATAGGCATGCACATTCTTATTCTTCAGCTCGTTCCGGACGCTGATGAGGAAGACGTTGACCTCCTCTTTCGTCCACTCGAGCGCTCTGGTGAAGGGGGCCATGCTCCAACCCTCGACGCCCTCGAGCATGTTTTCGAGGTTCCAGATGCCGAGTTCTCTGTAGTGCGGGTCCTTGGGCCACGCGTTGATGGGCCACTTGTACTTTGTGACCGAGACGTCCTCGAAGCCGACCTCCTCGAGCAGCGGCTTGAGGCTCGGGCAGTGGATGAAGGGGCGGCCAAAGATGTTGCAGGCCTCTTCCAGCCTGTCGACCCATTCAATCAAAGGACTGTCAGGCTTGAGGGTGCCGTCGTCGCAGTCGGGCCTCATGTGGGCTTCTTGCAGTTCGATGTATCCTCCGGGCTCGAGGAAGCTGGATTCAGAGTATGCTGATGTTAGCTCGGAGGGCGGTGGAGATTGCTGGCTGGGCTCCCGGCAGCCGTTTGTAGGTGAGAGAGCGCGCGCGTGTTTCAACTCAACTCGTAAGATTGCTTGAAGAACCTCTTCCAGTCGGCGATGCTCGAAGTCATGACGCGCGTGTGGATGTAGTCAAACTTTGTGTGGTACGTCCAGGGCTCCTCGAGGTCGTCAACCTCGAACTTGACGTTGGGCGGAACACTGTACATGAAAGAATATCAGTTGGTGGTGGATTTGGCATTGTTTGTCATTCTGCCTACAATGCTGTTTGTGCCGGAGACAGGTCGATGCCAACAACCTACAAGACCAAAGAATCAGTACTGCCGGCCTCCATCGATGTCGCAGATGATCAGAGGAATCACGTTACTTACCTCGGCATCAGGATGCTCATCGCCGAATTCGATGCACCAGATTCCCGTGCCGGTGCCCACGTCCAGGACGCGCTTGATCTTGGATCCTTCCTGAGCCGGCGGTGCAAGACCCAGCCTATAGTCGAGCGTGAGAAGGAAGATGTTGTGTTGAAGGTCTGTAGGATTTTGTAAGTTGAGACTGTTCAGAAAGGAAAACGAGTGAGTATCTGTTAGCACTTACCTAGCCTGTCATTCTCCTTCTCGTCGTTGGGGTAGCTGTATTCTGTGTCATGTTAGCGGTGGAGGAGGGCGCGCCTGAGGAGCAATCCATACGGCCATCTTTATATTTGTGATAAGTTCTACCATTCTCGATACGATGGTTCATTATCGAGCTTGCCAAGCTCGTGCTGGAAGAGGCGATACTCTGCAACCGAGGAAGGTCGCCATTGTCAGCAAAGGACATTAATCATCGAGTGGCCAGGAACGCGGGTATACTTACAGTCGCCCGGTCTGATGAGCCGTCATCGGCATCCTGAAGTAGACGGTTAGAAAGTCCGATCTTGGAGGCAAGTGCAAAGTTAGTAACGGAATCAAACTCAGTTCAGACTCACCAAGTCATCAGCGATGATAATGGGACCATTGTCTCCGTCAGTCGGTTGTTGCTCGTTAGACATCGTCGTTTCGATCTGAGAGTCCAAACGTTATAGAAATTTGGTTGGAAAGTGACACAGACGCAGGGGAGGAAAGATTCAAATATCTACTGTGAACTCCGCCGGCATAACGTCCGGTAATTAAATCCGGCGACGCGGTGACGGCGCAAACAAATGTTTGTGTGAACCCCTCTTCTTGAACTGGCACCACTGGCAACGATTATGCACGTTGGTGGCGAGGGGGACCGATCTGTTGGTGGAGACGCCGTGTGTTTTCGCAAGTTCCAACAAAACAGCAAGGGTTTACAGACGTATTAGGAAAGCAGAACGCAACCCAGTCCCGAGGGTACGCACGTAGATGTATTCGGTAAAGAGGAATCTTCAACGTGTGCATTGGCGATCGGCCGTGTTTCCCGGAACGGCTAAAGGGCCTCGTCACTACATGAGATCCGTCGACCGGATGGCCGGGACGAACATACACTGCAGAGACTATGCATCTGCCATTGAGTTATCGTCTTCTTCTTCTTCTTCTTTTGGTTCGATGAGAAGAGTGTCAACACACTAAAGAGCCTGAATAACTGATTCTTCGGCGGGTCGTGAGAGTGAGATCAAACAACATTTAGCGGCATCATCGCTGCCGTCCCCCAGCGTATCTCGAACCACCGCCAGGTCGCCTCAAAATCAATATCGGATCGTGCAGTTTCACCCTTCGCATGATCCTAAAGGACATATGAGCGATCAAGGCTTTAGCCTACTGAGCTGGTCCTGATATTCCGGTTTAATTCTCTCGCGAAGTAGGCAGAGGAAGTGATACTACACGTCAAGTCTCGCCCATCCTATGAGTCGCCTCTTCCCTCAGACAATTCAGGTCAAAACAACAGCCTTAAAAATACCCCCTTATCATCTACTAACCTCTAGTCTCGCAATATGTTACAGACAATAGTGGGCGTATCTAGAATTCTCTACAGTTATCAGATATGGTCCAGGCTCTTCATGAGCAAAACCTCCGCAGTCGCAAAGCTGATACCCAAGTTCTCTATAAATCATCCGCAACACCACCAGTCAATGAACCCCAAATGAAGACAGGCTATCACCACACACCCAATCTTCAAACCTCATAATCAGATACGCGTAAACCCGCTTAAGAGACCATTCTAACGTCCAACAACGAGCTAATAATCCAGTCCTCGATGATCCAAGCAGAAAATCTCACCTACAGCTCCACCACTTCGCCATTTCCCTCCCACCACCATTAATAATGTGCAACATCCAACAATTCATCTGCAACCTATGCAACCGCCTCAAAGCAGTCTCCCTCACCTACTGCAGACAAGCCCTGGACGCCGGCCACGTCCCCTACTCGCACGTCCTCATCGAGATCAAAGACACCTTCATCTGGACGCCCTATGAAGGCTGCGAAGGGCTCACAACCGACCCCGTGGCGGCTCGCTGGATGAAGTGCGACTCGTTCGACTTTACGGATGACGAGGCTGAGATGGATGAACAGTTTGATGCTGATGATGAGATGAGCGACTAACATGTCGAATCATGACCGACGGCGGTTGGATGGTAGTCCCCGGATTTGGGGAGAGACAGAGAGAGAGATGACGGCGAGTGATGGCTACAACACGTATGTGGGTTTCGAGTGCTAGGCTATAGAAAATATGGAGGCAACTAGATAAACGTTGGCTGGGCTTCAGAACAATGACAAACAAGGTGGTACTCCTTTCTTTTCTCACTGGGCTCTAAAGTTCACATCAGTTCTTTAACTCAAGGATCAAATCTGCCATTGATATTGTGCATAATCGGCTTGCTATTCTAGTGGTATCATCTTATTCTGTAACAACCCGCAACGAAAAGGGACGGCAGAAAGGTATTAGGGACTAATGACAGAAAAGGGGGGTTTAGATCCGGCCAGGGATCTGAAAATCGGAGACGTTTGTATCTCGAAGAATTAGAGACCGGAAAAAATGGTGGCGCTTTTTCAGTCGTAATGATGCTGGATGCTGCAGTCATTCAAAACATACGCAGAGAATCTGAATTTCAAATCGCGAGGTTCAAATGTCGTCCATCAATCTTTAACGGCGGACGGGAGGGGTTCGGGCACCCGTCAAAGGAGGACCCTGGGAGTTCTCCATGTTGCCAGTCAGTTCAGCAACACGCGCCTTAATACGCGCTACGCGGGATTCGATCGCTATACATGGTCAGATCTTGGACGCCAAAGGTTTCTAGTTTCATGGTAAGGCTTACTCTCTTCCCCACTTGTGTCGTCGCCATCGTCGGTAGTCTTGCTGTATCCGCCCCGGCTCTGTTCTTCGCTCTGGCGTTGAGCTGCGCGATCCGCAGCGTTCTTGCGGATCTGAGCCCATCGGTCGACGGCGGGCGGCGATCTAGGGCCATCCTCGGGAGACACCGGAGCGGACGAGTTGTCCGCAGGAGGTTCGGGGGTCTTCGCACGTCTTGCGATAGGGGGCGGAACAGCATCCTCGGAGTCGTCGTCGGGGACGAATGCGGGCTGCTCTTGCAGAGGGCCCTGGTCAAACCGCGAGAATTCGTGCCGAGCCTCGTTGGCATCGTCGGTATCGACGCGAGAAAGGGATTCATCAACGGACGGCTCGTACTGCGGCTCGTGAGCTTGGGTCTCAACTGGGGCGGGTTGAGGAGTCTCCATTGGTGTGATGTAAGCCTCTGCAGGTGTTGGTGTGGGGAGATTGGACTCTGAAGCAGCGGGTTGGGGGACAGGAGAAGGAGCAAGCTTTGGCGGCTCGGGAGTTGCTGTCTCGCGCTGGAGCATACCGTTCAAATCTGCGGCGGCATTCTCAGGCAGTTTCGAGTTCCGGTTCTTGTTACGGCCAAAAAGCTTGCGAAGTCCACCTCCACCGGTCTTCTCCTTGTGGAGCTTCTTGGACTTTTTGTCCTTCGGGCTGGTGTCCGGTTCAGGGGTGAACATGTTCTCCCGTGCCTGGTCATATGAGTCCTTCGGCGGGGGCATCGGAGAACTGCGGCCCTCCTCGAGTCGGTCGGTCGGGTGCAGACCACTCGGGGCCTCTGATTCCTTCTCGGATGGAATGCGAGGTTCGTCGTCTTGCGCGCCGGGGGGAAGCGGGGATGGCGAACGAGGGAAACCTGGTGAGCTCTGGGTCAATGGCGAGGGCTGTGGTTGCAGCGAGGGCGACTTGGCCGGGACTTCCGGGCGAAGCTCCGCTCCGTTGGTATTGCCGTTTGAGTATTCGTTATGGCCTTGACTGTCCTTCCTTTGCATGGTGGAAACACCGATACCGCGCCCAGCAGTGTTGTTCGCCAGGTAGGCCTCCCGAATCGCTTCCTTATCGTACTTGTTTGCCCATTTCATCGCTGGAGACGCCTGACGCATGATTTCTGGCTGGAGGGTGAATACACTGGTGGTCTTCTCTCTCGCCGACTCATCATTCCGGCCTCGGCGAGCCTGCAAAATTTGCTGTTGCTTCTCCTGCTGCTGACGGGCCTGAAGCTGTTGAGCAGCAGCTTGAATCCGAGCCTGTTGATCGGGACCGATGCTCGATTTACTGACATTGGGATCTGTCTTTTTATTGCCCTTCTCAAGAGTATGCTTGCCGGTTGATTTACGGCGGTTGACGCCCTTATTGCGCCTTGTCCAGCTGAAGAATCCCTTCTTTTCGGCAATGTAGGCTCCCTCCTGAGGCTCGGGGGCGGCACCAGCAACCATCTCCTCCATGACGAGCCATCGACCACGTTTAATGGTCGTCTCAATCACGGCGCAGCGGCCAAACGCAGATTTTCTCTCGGGAGTCTCTTCGGGTGCAAGACTGCTCATCCAAACCCACCAGAAGCTCTCGTCGAGGTCAAAGCGGGCAATGCTTGCTAGCTCGCCAGGCTCGAGACGATCCGACTCCAGGCGTGGGTTGTGAGATTGGGAGCTCCGTTGGCGTTGAGCTGTCTCGATGGGCGGCAACTGCTTATCGGGCGGCAGTAGCATGTTCGGGTTGTTTGGGTTGTCATCCACAAAGCCAGACGAGAGGAAATCGGCCCAGGAAGGTGTAGTCGGCCGTCCCAAGCCCATGTTGCCAGCAGCAGGTGTGGTTCTCAAGCCCTGGGGTTTGCGAGCCGCAGCTGCCGCTTCTTGGTCATCGTCGTCGTCGTTGTCCTCGAGAGCGCTGGTGAAGCCAATGTCTTCGAAGCGTGACCAGGATGCGTCGCGCAAACTCGTCGAGTGTTTTGAGCTGGAAACTTGAGACTGATTGGCGGAGGAGATCGATTTCAAGACGCGACGGCATTCTTCCGTCAGTGCCTTTACAGGATCCTCGTACTCGGAAAACTCGCGCAGAGCTTGGTCCTCATCGCGGTACTGGAAGTGATTGGCTCGACGGAGTAGCGCAAAGGGGCCCGGCGAAACGGTGTCCACGATCATAACGACCCTGTATGTAGAGGACTGCATCAATGATGGCTTCTGGGGAGGATACTCGGTTTCCTGAAGCAATTTTTGAAGAGACATTGGCAGCAGCGAGATGGAGCCCTGCGTCTGCTTCTGCGGGGCCAAAGATCGCAGGTAGGCGAAGAACAGATGGCTCGTAGCGTCAGCGGCGCTGAAGAATGTTAGTGTTGCTCGACCCTCGTGGTAATTTTACTCACCTTGCCCATGCCTTGTAACCACCTTCGAAGCCACTGCCCGTGTCCTTGTGTTCGAACGCCCACCAGGCAGCCGTCCGAGACAATTTCCGTCCGCCCAATCCGTTCATCTTGCTGTGGGCGGCAATTGCAGACATCAAGTCGAAGAAATCGAAAATGATACACGAACGAGCTCCATTATCCACACTCAGAGGGATGAATGTTTTGAACGAGTCCCTCGCCATATTTGAGTCTAATGCGCGGGTCAGCCCATGGTGCCCATGAAATACTCATGTGAAGTGCCGAGTCCGTTTGTGCAACATACCTTGCTCGCCGACTTTGAACAGCTCGTACGCATCCCAGCCTACAACACCGCCTGCAAGGCGACTCCAGCACCATTTAACTACGCCAGCAATGAC